TTTTCTATTAATTAATTTTAAAATAATAATTTAAAAAATTATATTCTAAACATAACGTAAACAATTAAAAAATATATCTTTTTTTTCGTAGAATTCGACATGAGTAGACCGTGATTTCGTAGAAAATCCGGGAGAGATCGACCACAGGAAAACAACAATTATGACTAGAACTCTGAGAACAATAATTATAAATCGACAGGAAGCACAAAAGAGACCCATAATCTCACATCAGTTATCTAAGAATTATACTTAAAGAAACGATGAGGAGTGTCCCTTCGCGGGTTTTAAATTTATTAGACTCAACCCTGGATTTCCGCGGTAGTTTTTAGAAAGCATAATTTTCATAGACGGTCCTATTTTTAGTCGTCTTAATTTTATACATTGAGAAAACATCTCTATAATATCGACTGATTGATAATCAAAATAAACTAAATTGCGATATCTCTCTAGTGATCAAGATAGTAAATTCGATCGAATCCGTTAGAAAGGATTAATTATTTACGAAAATATAAACAAGGTATTTACCACGAAAATTGAGTAAGATTTAAAAAAAATTTAAAAAAAATTTTTTTGTTATTTAAAATCTTCAATACGCGACTCTATTCCTCCATATTGTAAAAAAATATTTGAATAATAAATTTTAAAATAATAATTTTCAAAATTCTATATTAAACATTATGTAAAACATTTTAATAGATCAGTAAATATTCTCGAATTTTTGTAAATCCATCGATAACGAAAATACGTATACATTATTATTCTAACGCTCATCGAAACGTAGCTAGATCAACGGAATTATTTTCTAAAATTTAAAATTTCTCGATATTTGAAAAAACGACAAATGAAGAACAAACGATTTTTTCCTACGGACAACGCCGCATCATCAGGTAGTCCCTTGGATCTGAATTGCTGATATACTAGCCAACACGAACACGCATGAATACTGCAACGAGATTAATTTGCGAGATAAATACCTGCGACTCTCGTCGATGTCGACGTGCTCCGCTAGATGATTATCAAATAATTTATGTCGAATGTTATTTCGGCTAAAAATTTATAATACTATTAGATTTAATATTTTTAAGGCTCTGTGTGTCAAAAACTTGATTGAGCTTGGGGGGGGGGGCAATAAGAGCCAAACGCTGGATGTCTAGTGCGGGTATAACAATATAATGTGTGTTATTTATTCAGGGTAATTAATGTCAAACGTTTCGACCATCGCATGTGGTCCTTTTCAATAACATGAGATTATTTACATGAATATGTTTGTTTCGGTCAAGTACGCATGTTAATAAGAGACTCTAACTATTGCTTTTTAGTAATTATTGTTTCGGTCCAGTACGCATGTTAATTAAAGACTCTAACCATCGCTTTTTTAATAATTATATTATAAGTAAGATAAACTTAACGCTTGTGTCGCTGATTCCCGTGTTACGCATCGTTGTTTGATTCAATGGTGACGTTCGTCTCGCAGTGCAATGTGTAGACTCCTAATACTTATTTAGGTATCAGGGCAGAATTTCTTGCGCTATCGGAATACATAATAGCAGTATTTGGGTTTACAGGATATTTTTGGTTTTACAAACTTATATTGTGTTTTATACATACTGCAAGTCCGGTCGTAATCGTCATCTTGAATGTGCGATATGTATCTCTCGAGCGAAGAAGTCGATATGATCTGAATAGTTCTGACCAATGTGTCTTTTTGTTCTTACTTGTGTATGCGATTTTTTCACAGTCACCGGTATTTAGGAACTAACTGTAGCGTCAGGGTGAAGTAACGAACGATAAACATTGTGTCGCCATAAACCCTAGTTATATCGGGAATTTTTCACCTTATTTAATAGCGGTAAGTATGAATCGCCTAATAGTGCTGTGTCTGTCTGTAAATTTATGCTGTTTGGTTGTATATTTATATGTAACATTTCCGAAATTAGTCGTCTTGTGTAAAATGATTCATTATCTAGTATCTTAGTGTTATCGAAATCAAACTCGTGTTTATGCAGTGTACAGTGTTCTTGTATAACAGTAGGATTGGTAATGTTCGTTCTTTTATGTTCTTTAATTCTTGAAGATAGTAATCTCCCGGTCTGACCTATGTATATCGCATTACAATTTTTACATTGTATGTTGTAAACCACATTATTATTAGACGCACTAGCTAATTTGTCTTTGTGTACTCTAATTATTCCGTTCATTTTCGTGAAACCGTAGAAATTTATGTTTTTATTAATCTGGGGTCCAAAAGAATTGAATTTGTTTTTTTATCTCTTGTATGTGTGTGTGTGTATGGAATCGAAAGGAAACTTTTATCTTTTGAAATATTTGGAGTTTTTCTATCAGTTGTTGTTTTGTCTTTTAATAAATAGTTTATTCTGTTATTATAAGTTTTAAAAATGAAGTCAATAGGATAAGAATTATTTAACAGTAAGTTGATGGCATATGTGATATTCTTTTGATGGAATTTAGGATGAGAGAGTAAAAATGCTCTGTCTATTAGTGAGATTATCACTGCTCTTTTTTGGCTGCTTGGGTGATTGGAGAAGTAATTAAGATATCGTCCCGAAAATGTAGGTTTGTGGTACCAGTCAAATATTATTTTGTCATTGTTTAAAATCATTGTTACGTCCAAGAAATTAAGTCTGTGGTTTTCTCCTATTTCCATGGTAAATTGCATTCTTTTGTGTATTGAGTTAAAGGTTTTCAGGATGTCATTGAAAAATTGTGGTGGGGCAGCCAAGGCTATATCATCCACATATCGGCAATAAAAAGGCATATGGAATTTTAATTTCTTTATCGCCGTTGTTTCTACATCCTGTAATACTATTTCGGATATCACTGGTGAAAGTGGAGATCCCATGGGGCAACCGTAATTTTGTTTATAGATGTTGTTTTCAAATGTGAAGTAGGTGGAATGTAGAACAAACTGTAATGCTTCGATGAATTCTTTTAAGGGAATTTTGGTCTTTTTGGAGATGAAATTCCATCTTTTTTTAACGCTGTTGATCGCTAGGTCTAAAGGAATGTTAGTGAAAAGAGACACTACGTCTAACGAAATTAGCTCTACTCCTGCTGGGACGTATGTGTTTCTGAGCGATTCTACGAGTGTGAAACTGTCTTTTACTGTGGTAGGATTAGATGGTAAACTTTGTTGTAAGATGTCTTGTAAGAAAGTAGCTATGTTATAAAGAGGAGTATATACTGAAGATACTATGATTCTGAGAGGGATGTTTGGTTTGTGGATTTTGGGGAGTCCATATGCACGGGGTAATACTCCATCGCTTGCATACATGTTTCGGTATTGTCCCTGGGATATGAAGTTTTTGTCTCTCCATCGTGTTAATAGGGATGTCAGATTTTTTAATATTTTATTGGTGGGATCTCGTTGTACGAGACTATACGTTTCACTATCCCCCAGCATATCATTCATTTTTTTGTTGTATTCAGTTTTGTGTATAATGACTGTTACGTTACCTTTATCTGCTTTAGTGATAAGTAATTCTGGATTTGATTTAAAGAAAGTTTTAGTTTCTTGTGTGGTTTTAAGAATTTTTTTGCCAATTTCGCGTAGAGGTTGAGGATTATTGTACCATTGACTTAGAATTGTGTTCGTGTGGTTACGGATGTTGGAAATTGTTAATAAATCTAGTTTTGAGATACTGGCTTCTATGCGTTTGATGAACTCGAAGCATATCGTATCTTTGTTGTTAGAGATAGGGAGGCAAAATCCAGATCTCAGTTGTATCAATCCTTGTATGTGTTCTGGTATGTGTGCGTCAGTAAGGTTTTTCAACCATTTATGTTGTAATTGTAGAGGAGAGCTTATACTGGATACTTGGAAATTGTTAGGATAGATTTCTATTTTTCCAGTTGTGTTATGTGTCTGTTCATTCAATGGTAATTTAGAATATTTTATGGGAGTGTATGGGGCGTTATTAATGTTTCTAGATCTTAAAGTCCTAATGGTATTCGTCTGTGATGTGTTGTTGTCGTGCCAATAGTACCTTATCGGGTCGATATTCTCCATATTCTCCTTTCTAATCTTATCATTAAGCCATATGAATTTTTTGTGTAATCTGTTATTTTCATAACGTAAGATTGTTTGAATCTTGTTGTTATGGAAAAATAAGAAGCGGTTCCACATATTTCTTGGGAGTACTGATGTAATGACTCGTGTTAGGGTAAATATTGAGTGTCTTAGTTGACGTAAGTAGCTATGTGCGTCCAATATCTCTGTGTTAAGAAGTTGCAACTGAAAGCGTCGTTTGTATGACATAAATCTAACTTCCGAACTTCGATGTCTAAAAGATATATCATTTTGTGCGTTTAAGTGTGCGGGTATGATCTTACTATCTTTACATTTCTTTAAGAATTTCAGTTGGGCTATTGTCTTAACATTTTTCATACTTAAATTCTTATACTGGTTGATGTTATTTGTTGTTTCTTGACCGAACGTTAGAGATATAAATTTAAAAAAAATTTTGATTCCTAAAAAAATTTGGACCATTGTGATAATTTGGACGTGTCATGAGTGCGATATACCGCACATCAGACGACGACTTCGCACGCGGCAAGGTATCAGATAACACCTGCCGCATGCGACGAAAACGAGTATCCGGAGCAAAGTACGAATCCATCGAAGCCGCGCATACAGTTGCTAACGGAACAACTGCTTACTAAATAATAAGTGGCCTGACAACAGGGCCAAGCGCGATTGATATAAAAAGGAATGGAAAGGAAGGAAGGCGGGACAATCTAAGCTAAGTAACGATACGGTTAACTACTGTTAACGCGACCGAAAGAATTATACTCGTTCTGAATAAAGAAGACTTTTTTTTATTTAAACGGTTGAATAGTCGACCTAGAGTCGTTGTGTGACCCGGCAAACGATCCCGAATCACAACCCGTGCCCCGGGACTGCGTCGGGACACACAACAATATGGTGGCAGCGGTGGGATCTGCCTTCCATCCACCTCGACTCCGAGACGACCAGCAACTAAAAATTTCGAAAAGAGGGAAACCGTAATACAGAGTCTACAAGACCAACGGAAACCCCGTAAGCGAAACTTCGACGACAAGTCGAGAACACCCGGTAGCTACGGAGGACTTCAGACGGCACCAACGCATAGCACGGCGACCCGTTCAACACTCCCCGTAAGCAGACGCTATCAGCGTAACCGGCGTAAGCTAAACCCTCGACGATAAATCAAGAACACCCGGTAGCTGCGGAGGACCCGAAACGGCACCAACGCATGGTACGGCGACCAACTCGACCAGCCCCGCAAGCAGACGCGACCAGCGCAACCGGAGACGGCACCGACTCATCGCGCAGAGATCAGCACTGACCTACCGCACGACGAGCAGCCAAAGCAACGGACGACAACATGCAGCATTACATCGTAGCGTGAGTCCGCACTCAAATTCTCATACGCATGTAAATGGCATGCGAGCCATACCGCGATTAGCGCTCAATAAAGTAGACACCCGCGAATGTCCCAGGAAGGACACGGGTGTGAGAGATTGACCCCCGATAACTCACTGTTATCGTTAGAACCGCGTACACCTCCCGCCGAGGAAGCTTCCGCGTTACAAATCGCCGCCGACGCGTTAACTAATATAAGTAACGCCTCGCGTCGCGCGCTAAACAGTACCCGTTCAAGCAGCGGCAGCGAAGCAAGCCCTTCGTCTAACGTCCAAGTAGAACGAGAATTTCCCTTCGAGATAAACGATTATAGTTTACTAGCGTCAGGTCTCCAAAGTCAAGATCCACAAGTAGGAATCCCTAACCCTCGCAATCCCCGACGCACGTACGAACGCGACGACACCCCGACGTCACGACACCGACTCGACTTACGTAAGGTTCGACGAACGTTATCTGACGCAATGAACCAACCTATCGCCGGTACGTCGCGAGATGCGATGAATCAACCTCCCGCCGGCACGCCGCGAACTGCGACGGGCCAACCTACGGCCGGTACGTCACACGACACAATGGAAAATCCGCCGCAAGACGAGATTACTGACGAAATTTTGCGCCTACATCAGTCAATAGACCATACCAACGAAAGCCCGCGACATAATCGAAGAATCACCTTTAACCAATCACCTAGGCACAGCGCGATGTTCCACGAACTCCTTCAGGAGATAAGAGAGCTGCGCGTATCAATTAACGGACCACCACGGGAAGAGCCTCTCCCTCCGAGAGAGTCGCGAAGAAGTTCGCAGAGTTTTCACGATCACGCGTTAGATTTAACGTACGGACGTTCGCATAGCGATATCCGAAACCATCGCGGATCGACGGTCAGTTTTTTAAGTCTAAAGGAAGCGCGAAGCATGATCCCCGAGATCGATGGAAATTCACAAAACCGAGTGCGAGAATTTATAAATGCAAGTACATACGCGATGAAAAATATACATCCAGCCGACGAGCATACGTTATTAGAAGCTATCTTATGCACTAAATTTAAAGGGAAAGCTATGATAGATTTTCACACGAGAAGCATAGAAAATTACGAGCAGTTAAAACGCGAACTGGAACGCGAATATCTAAGCAAGCGAAGCACCGCGTACCTGCAATTAGAATTTAACTCCCTCCGCCAAAAACAATCGGAAAACGCGCAGACATTCGGAAGACGCGTAGAGACCCTCGCTATGGAATTATACGAAGCCATAGAGGACGGTAAAGCCCATACAGTTGAGCAACAGCGCGCAATACTTGAAAGCATTAAGGAGCAAGCGCTTTGCAATTTCCAAATAGGCCTACCCGAGGAAATAAGAGTGCTAGTACGGTCACAGCACTATAACACGTTACAGGAAGCGATCGCCGGCGCGAGCGCCGAAGAAAAAGTTAAAGGGCCGACCGCCCGACAGAATCCCTACCGACGCTCCTTCGAGCCCAGTACCGCGAGACATCAGTACTCCGAACGGTCTAACGTTACGTGTCAGAAATGCGGTTAAAA